TCAGTCTTCGATTCGCCGTGTCCGATCTGATCTATCTGAACCTGTACGCTCGATCCGATCCAAATCTGTTCAGCTATCTAATCTTCACTCCGCTGCTGAGTTACTTTCTCACTCGGTACGTACGCTACGACTCTCTAAGAAACTTCGAGATCTCACAGATTCTTCCGATCCAGATAAGATCGATCTCACCAAAGCTGCACAGTTCCATTTCGAGATCTTAACAATGTGTCAAGAGTATGATCTCTTCGGCATTGACGTTATTGACGAAGAAATCAAGTTCGTCAATGAGATTGGGGAGAAATTGAGATCCGAAGCTATGAAAGTGTTGGAGAGAGGAATGGAAGGGTTGAATCAGGCTGAGGTGGGTACTGGGTTGCAAGTTTTCTATAACCTTGGAGAGCTGAAGCATACGGTGGATCAATTGGTGAACAAGTACAAGGGCATGGCTGTGAAGAGTGTGAGTGTTGCTATGGACATGAAGGCTATTTCTTCTGGCTCAGGTGGTGGTGGATTTGGTCCTGGAGGGATTAGGTCTAGCGGAGCACCGCACATTGGGGGCGGAGCTAAGACTAGGGATGCTCTGTGGCAGAGGATGGCGAGTTGTATGGAACAGTTGAATGCACTTATAGTCGCTGTGTGGCACTTGCAGCGTGTACTGTCGAAGAAGAGAGATCCATTTACTCATGTCCTTCTTCTTGACGAAGTCATCAAGGTGAGGAATTTCACTGGAAATATTGGCTTTTAGAGATTATTAGTTAGTTAGTTTTTAATGCCAGATGTTAAGTTTCATCACTAGGATACTGTCGATGTCCTCAGGGGAAAGTAGCATTAGATAATTGAGAGTAAGAGAGTGTGTTCTTGGATGTGGATGAGAAGATTCTTGTCACTTTTAGTGAGCATGATGATGTTTGATCAACTTTAATAGATGATCCTTCCATGTTTAAGCATAAAAGGAAGCTTTGGCATGTGTTTCTGTGATGTCAGGGCTGTTGATTAAAATTATAGATTCCAGCCTTTTTCTTTTGGTTTTTATTGCTGACATGAAGTGTTTATATGCATAGGAAGGTGATTCTATGTTAACCGACAGAGTCTGGGATGCACTTGTGAAAGCATTTACTAGCCAAATGAAGTCTGCATACACAGCTTCGAGTTTTGTAAAAGAAATATTCACCTTGGGATATCCAAAACTCGTGTCTATGATTGAAATTCTTCTTGAAAGGATTTCTCGCGACACTGATGTGAAAGGAGTGTTACCTGCCATTAATTCAGAAAGGAAAGAACAAATGGTTTCATGCATTGCTATATTCCAGACTGCTTTCTTATCCCTATGCTTTGGCCGCTTGTCAGATCTTGTGAATTCGATATTCCCTATGTCAAGCCGTGGGAGTTTGCCGACAAAAGAACAGATCTCACAGGTATTATCACACATTCAAGAAGAGATTGAGGCTGTTCATCCAGATGCTCGTTTAACTCTTCTAGTTTTGCGGGAGATAGGCAAGGCCCTTAGTAACCTAGCTCAACGAGCTGAGTGCCAGGTATGTTAAACTTCTTTTGTCTTCTCTTGTTTTTCGCACTATCTCACTGACAATGGTTTTTAGTACCTTTATTCTCTTGTTATTTGCACTATCTCACTGACAATGGTTTTTATAAACTCCCCAAAGTATGGCATCAACTTCTGCTTGAATTCAATCTGTAATTCACTACTTATGAATTCATAAGGTTGCAAGCAGATGTAAAGGGTAGAATTTGTAATAATTCCCTGTGGCTATTATAATTTACTTGTAACACCAGACAGAAATGAATGAAAGTAGAGCTTCATTTACCTCTGCTACGCAAATATATATGTGATAGCTTAGCTGCTAGTTTGGCTGATGTAATAATTGGGGTTAAGCAAGTAAAGAGAAGTTAGACCAGTATGTATGCTTTTATGTTTAACATGTAACACAACTACATTTATATGGCAGATTTCTACCGGCCCTGAGACGCGCCAGGTAACCGGTCCTGCAACTTCAACACAGATCAGAAACTTCACATTATGTCAGCATCTGCAAGGAATCCACACGCATATCTCATCCATGGTAGCGGACCTTCCCAGTATTGCAGCTGATGTATTGTCTCCTTATCTGGGTGCAATATATGAGGCGGCATGCGAGCCAGTCACACCTTTGTTCAAAGCAATGCGAGACCAGCTCGAGTCATGCATTCTTCAAATCCATGATCAAAACTTTGGTGGTGAGGATGCTGCCATGGATAACAACGCTTCCCCATACATGGAGGAGTTGCAAAGATCAATTCTTCACTTCCGCCGTGAGTTCTTATCTAGACTATTGCCTTCCGCAGCAACCGCCAACTCTGCAGGGACAGAATCAATCTGCACTAGACTTGCAAGACAAATGGCTTCAAGGGTTTTGATCTTCTACATCAGACATGCTTCCCTTGTGCGACCACTTTCAGAATGGGGAAAACTCAGAATGGCTAAAGACATGGCCGAGCTTGAACTAGCAGTGGGACAGAATTTGTTCCCTGTGGAACAACTCGGTGCGCCGTACAGAGCTCTTAGAGCATTTAGGCCACTGATTTTCCTGGAAACATCTCAGATGGGATCATCTCCTTTAATCCATGATCTACCACCGAGCATTGTCCTCCATCATCTCTACACGAGAGGTCCGGACGAATTAGAGTCACCGATGCAAAAGAACAGACTGAGTCCGAAGCAATACTCACTGTGGCTTGATAACCAAGGAGAGGATCAAATCTGGAAGGGAATAAAAGCGACTTTAGATGATTATGCAGTGAAGATCAGGTCTAGAGGAGATAAAGAGTTCAGTCTAGTTTATCCTCTAATGCTTCAAATTGGATCATCTTTGACACAAGAGAACTTATAAGCTCCATGTGCTCTGTTCCTGTTTTTTTCAAGCCTTTTGAGTTCTCTTGGAGGTCGAATCAATAATTCTTTTTGTCTCGTGGAGTTTTCCTGTTATAGTGATCATCTCTCATACATACATGTCATGTAAATCCAGATTCTTACATCATGCCATGGTTGGTGTCTCCAATTTGCTTTTGTTTGTTTTATGTTGAGATCAAACCCTCTCATGGGGTACTTTTTTGGATTTGATTAGCAGACATAAGCTTGGAAAGTAAAAAGGGTTTATAGTACTATGCAAAGAGGGTAGTAGATTCATGGATCATATTCACATCAACGAGTATATTTACATCGACAAAAATATGTACAACAAAGCCTGCACAACTATCATGGACCTCCTCTTCTTCTCGCTTTCTCTCACGATTATAAAGGCAAAGATGGATCAATTCCCAACGGAAATAGATCTCTCCCCTAGTCCAAGTGGAGAACGTGAACGTTGACGCCTCTTGATCTCGCTAAGAACCCTCCTCATCTCCGGTTGCTGCAGCGATGGTTGCCTTATCTTCTCAAACTCCTCCTTTATCTTCACCACTTGGCTATGTTTTGGACCGTCCTCGTTTCCATTACAAGTCTTGTTCTCCATTTCTACACAAAACCCGAGACAAAGTAAACCTAAACAAAAGAAATCCTTTATAAGTACTCTGTTCTGTGCACAAGAAAGGACACGAGTTATGTGTGATGTACAAGAGAAGTCAGGTTGGTGGGCAACGCCGGATTAGTCTCCTATACACAAAACTAAACTAATATGGTGATTTGAGATATTATTATACAAGAGGACGA